ATCGCAGTGGGAAGTGTGAGGCGGGCAGGGCGGCGGGGCGGCGCATCTCATCATCTTCCTGAGGCCGGCGGGGAAACGCTGCTCTGGTCTGCACAGCCGCTTTTCTAAAACAGCTGGCCTTGGGCAGCGGGAGGGAGGGAGGTGGCCGGGGAAGGGCGGAAGGGTCAGGCCAGCTGCTGCTGACGGGCGCGGCCATGCAGTCCCTTCCTTCTAGGCCTGCTGGGCCTCTCCCCAGCGTTTTGGGTGAGTGGTGACCAAGTCTGTTAGTGCAGACCTGTCGTCTGCTAGTATAAGCCACCTTCTTTAAAGTTAGATCCGAAGAATGGCTGGTGTCGGACTTTGTTTTCCTCCTCGTGTTTTGTTCTGGATTAACATTTGTGTCCCACTAGATTATTGCTTAAATAGACCCACTGAGAATGATGACAGGCCAGGCAGAAAGGCTTGCAGCATTTGCCAAGTATTTAGATCTATGTTAGCCAAACATATAGCTGTTGCTTCATAATTTTTTCTTGATCCTGAGACATGAAGAGTGTTTGGTTAGAGAAGAGCTGAACAAGCTTGACCTTTCATGAGCTCCTCTTAAGAAAAGAGAATACCTTAATAAGCTTGCTCCCATTCTAGAAAGAGTTCTTGAGCAAGGCATCTCATGTTTGCGTTCAAAGGTTTCCAAAGCTCTTTTTTGCAACCTTTTGCTCTAGTGAATGAGTGAGGTCCTTAGTGATGGCTGCTGCTGTGTTGGTTGTTAATTTTCTTGAGGATTAACACCTGGGAAGAAGGGAGTGAGAAAAGGAAGCTTCTAGTAATTTGTTTGCTTTTAATTATCTAAAACTTCATCTAGTCTAAAACCCTACTTCTAACAATATTATTGAAAGCCAAGAGTAATAATACAATTTCAGTCTTGGAAATTTGGTGGGAGTATTTGGTGACAATATTCTTGTCATCTGCTGGGTATTTCTTCTGGAAATCCTGACAAATGGCACCTTGCACATATTATGGGAGATGTAGCGTATGCATGCCTGTACTGACCTCCCTGGCATGGAATACCAAATCTTTCTTTAGCTACAGGTCAGTTACACAGTAGGGCTGAAGTTTATTGGGTATTTCAGAAAGCTGAGACAAAGTAGGTAGCTTAGGTGATCTTGCTTTCTAGTCCCAAGGTGTAGTGAACAAGCAGATGCTGTTTTGAGTATTTCTTTGACATGACATTGCAAGATACCGGTATAGTTTGTTCCTTGCTTCTTGACACTCTCTTCCATGTTGCCTACATCCTTACCTCTCATGGGTTTCCCTCAAAATATAGTTGTAAAAGAGGCACCTAAACACTGCTGAGTTTATAGACCTCAAAGGGGGTAATAAAGTTTTGGGATCTGTGGAAAACCATGTGTCATAATGGAATGTATGTATCTTTATAGCTTAACTTTCCAGTACTCTTCAGGGCACAGACCAGTGAATTAAGTTTCCAAGTTAGTTTTTCAGCCTGGGGTTTGAAAGTTTCTCTGCTATTTTAAGTAGAGTTTTCTGAAGACAATGCTTGCCTTAGTAAATCAAAGTTTAAATTCATGGAGCTGATGTACTTCCTTTCTGGTTCTCTAATTTCTGTCATGGATTTCTTGTTATGTTTGCTTAATTACTTATTTAAGTTAATGACCTAGTTATTCAGAAAACTGTATGTAACTGTTTAAGTCACTGCGGTTTTCATACTCCATTCAGTTGGAAGATAGAAGAGCAAGATAAATCCTTTGATTTTGGAAATGCATTTGTGACTTTCATTATCAATAGGCTCATATGATTAAAAATAAGACTGATGTATTTTTCAGGGGCAGGTGTCTGGGGTTTCTCTTCTTCAGACCCATGTCCTATTATGTCTGTTTAACTTAACTGTGGGCTCAGATGGGAAAATCACACACTTTCTATATCTAAAATTTGCACCGTTCTGGTCCTCCTTCCTGCATAGCATTGACGGACTTTTCTGCTACTCTCTTCACTTTATTCCACATTTACTTTCTTGTGCCCATTCATTTTTTGTATTTAGTGCCATGTTGCCTGGATTCAGAATCATTTAGCAATTTGTTTAGCTTTTTTTTTTTTTTTAAATTGTTTCTGTCTGTCTTTTGTCATTTTTCAGAAGTGATTGTTTTGCTCTTTTTTAATTGCCTTTTTAAGACAGTTCTTGTAATTAAAATATAAATTACTTGAGAGTTTCTAGTGAATGTTTGTCAAGGTCCATGCACTGCTAGAATTTATAAGAACACTAGCGCACAGTTATGGATCAGTGGAATGTCAGATAGCTATTACTGTGTTCATACTGTAACTAAACAAATGCATAAGCTTTCAGAGAAGTGCAATAATTATTAAAATTATAATGGAAAGGTCCTAATAAATCAAATGAGGATTTGGCAATAATTTGTGTGAAACTAAATGACGTGTAGCAGTTTATACTAGCCAAATTTGTTCTGATAGATTACTGCACAGAAAAGTAACCTTAGAAATGCACTGTTTTGCTTTTCTTTAAGATTTTTTAAGAGATCTTAGTGTACTTCATACTCTGAGGAGCGATCACTCCTGTCTGTGTATTGACATTACAAAGCTAGATTTAAAATAAACTTGAGAGTTCTGTTTAGGAACACCTAATTGATGACATTTTCTCTTTCAGGTGGAAATAAGGATAATATCAGAGCAGGATGCAAGAAGTGTGGCTACCGTAAGTCTGTAGTAAGCAATATGAAGTTATAGTGTTTTCTTCATTTTATGATGCTGAAGCTGCCTTTTGAGGAGGGCAAAATATAAAAAAGGAGTGTTCTGCCTTGTTGCCCAGACATTTGTCAGTTTAAATTACCATAATTTTATTTATTTATTTATTTATTTCCTGTTAATTTTCTGGCTCCTTACACCTATTTCTGCTTTTGAAAACCCTTGAGTCTCTCAGGAAAAGAAAGAGTATGCTGTTGTGTTCATATATACTACATTTGCCATGCAATTACTTGAGAAACTTTGAATTGAGAGCATGGTCTTTGATATGTACTGAGATTACCATTTGTGCTTATTCTGAGTCTCACTGCAAACTTAGGCAAGCATTTCAACTCAAGTCAAGTCTGATCTGTTTCAAAAGAAAAAAATAATTTAAAATCTGTATGATCTTCTACACTAAGAAAACATACTTCTTTGTGCATTCTGTATTTTAAGAAACAGTTAATTTTGTTACTTACAAGTTCTGCTGTTAGCATTTAGCTCATGCTTTGCATTGTGCTCTGATCATATAAGCATGTCTGTGGCTACTGTCCTGATGAATGGAGACAGGTCTTAGTGAAGATTTTAATTTCTTAATCACTAACTCTTGTTTTTAGAACAATGGAAGGGTGGACACTGTTTTGCAGTGAATTGTGTTGAACTTTCAACAAAGTGATTTAATCTTTTTTTATGAGCATTATGTGGGGTCAAGGGGGAAAAAAGCTTGCTTCGTTCTTTCCTTGTAGACTTTGTCACCAACAAATTTTGTCAATGAATTGCTTTGTGTATCTCTTCTTCCAAAGGAACAGGGATATCAGTATAGATTTAGTGCTTCATTTCTACATGCAGTAAGTATCCGAAGGTTCCTGGAAGAGAAGGAAACTTGTAGTCAAATCACACAACCTGTATTTATGTTCCTGAAAGCTTTGTGTTCAAGCTGTAGGCATTTTGGTATGAAGATGATGATTTTATTTCAATTGCTACTTGACTTCCTGTGTCTTTAGCTCAGTTTCTCCCAAACTGTATCTTCAGTTTGGTTTATTTCTCTTTCTTATCCCAATAGGTGTATTCAGCACAAGGTTTCTAACTCTGGTCATGATTATTGAGATATAACTTAGAAAACCAAAAATAATAGTCAAGTAGTAGCTTAATATTATGTACTGGTTGTTAAAGATTATGTCTCATAAGCGAATACGATTCTTCTGTTTCACTAGAGGGAGACAAAAAGAGCAATACAACACACTCAACTGTAGTTTTTTAAAAATTCCACTTCATGCTTTTAGGTAATTTCTTCAGGAAGGATCTGAAACCATTACAAAAATAGAAAGTAAAGTTTGGACAAAATCTTTAAATTAACAGAAATAAGACAGGTCATAAAGCACTATTAAATGGAATAACATTGCACAACCTGTCAAAAGTCTTTGAGGTTTTTTCAAAGTAAGCGTTCTGCCTCCTTGTTCACAGGTTGCAGCCTAGCTTTTTTTTTCACTTCTCAGAACTGGGTAATACTAAAATGGATGTTCTTTAGTTTCTGATTTTTTTTTGGTAAATTGTAATTTTTCTTTCTGAATATTTTATTCAGCTGGTCACCTGACATTTGAATGTCGAAACTTCCTCCGAGTAGATCCTCAAAGAGATATTGTTTTAGATGTTAGCAGCACTAGCAGTGAAGACAGTGAGGAAGAAGAACTACAGAGATTGCAAGCCATGCGTGAAAAAAAGAGTAAGGGGTTTGTTTTCTTTTTTCCTTAAAGTATAAATTGGATAATGGTCTTCTGAAGTGCTGGAACTGTCATTTTATCCTTTTTGATAATTACTATTAGTTCTTATAGCTTGTGCTTTAAAAGTAGGTCTTTTACTTCAAGTGTTCAGACTTCAGAGATTTGATACACCCACATTATTATTAATTCCTGTTATTGGAACATCTCCAAAAGGCTCCTAAATGTAAAAGATTGTAAGTCGGTTACTAAGAAGCTGCTTAGGAGAAAATGACATGTGTGCTCTGAGTTAATCTTTTGATTATGGCATGTAGTTTAAACATCTTAAAGTAGATAGTAGCTCTTTAATGACAAATATGACAGCTGAATTTCTCTCTAGTCTCTAAGTAGTGTTTTAGCTGAAACAGCTAGTGAATTTAATGTCAAGATTCGTATTTGGAGAAGTACTGTTCTCTCTTTGGGACATCTGAGCTTCAACTGTTTGTCAGAGAGAGAATAGATGGGTTATTTAGCAGATACTTGAATTCATTTGTATTTGGACTCCAAAGAAGCAGTTCCCCTAAGTAAGAAGGGGAGGTTGTTCCACTGTAGCATGTTTTAAATGAATGAATATTCTTCCCCTCTGACCCTTGAAACGTCATTTTTTGTTCTGTTGCTCTCACATTCTAGACTTGACATTCAGTTCCTAGTAATGATGCTACTTAGGAAGGAGAAGGGATAGATAGAACCCTCTGATTTGCTGGAACACTTCAAAAGAAATGGATAGTCTGCTTGTCAGGAGTGCTGAATTGGGACTGCAACAGTCCTTTCTTGCAACAAGTCTCTTTAGAAAAACTTGTTCCCACTTACTATGTACTTTTGAATGTAAGGGGTTTTTTTTGGCCCTAAACTGATTGAAGATGGATATCTGCAGGAAAAACAGCTGTTTACTTGATCTTGTACTATCCCTGTTGATTATATGTTCTTTCTCAAACTGTGGCTGCTATGTCTACTGTAAGCAGATATGTATCTTTAACCGTCAATAATTTAGGCAGGATTTTGCCATTTTCAAGTGGCCTCATCTTCTCAGGACTTTTGCAGTGTTTGCACGTAGATTTTTGCACCATTTTCTTAAAAATACCGAGTGCTTGTTCACACATTCTTGTTCATGGTTTTTATTTGCTCCAAAAGTAATTTGTTTTTTGTAACTCATACTGAATTCTTTCAAATTTCACTCCAGAACACACAGACCAGTAATTTCTATTTGTGGTAGCAAATGAATGAGTGCAGTAGCATGCAGACTCTATGGGAAGTTATTTTTATGATAGAAATAAGATTAAATGCTCAAAATTAGCTATCTGTTTTAAGGATAAGTTGTAAAGCCAGTATTTTCCTGTTAGCTGGCATTGTAATGTGTCTTTATATAGTGGATTTGCATTTTGGAGAATTCAAAAATACTTTTTGAACTAGTATAGTAAAATCTAAGGTCAGAAATTGCATCCCTTGTGATAAAAATACTGCTTGTAAGTGAAATGTGAAGATACCACAGAATACTGTACAGTGTTAGGGCAGGAAACAAATGTGACCAGGTAAGGGGTGTCTCTTCTGCCAATTTTTGTAGACAGTGTATTGACAGTTAACTCAAATTTATCTTAGTTACGGCATAGCTACTTATGAAGTATGAAATGGGGATGTGTGAAAGTTACTCAGGTAAGCCTAAGGGAATATTCCTTTTTTTGTATGTTCTAGTAAAATGACCTGTTTTCAGACTTGGGCAAGTCTTTTAAAATACAGAAGAATGGATATGAAAACCTAAAGCTGAAGTAAACATATAGAAAAAGTCACAACTTTTTGCTACGTTTTATGGGCCTTCCTTCATTCATTGTGCTTAGATCAAAGTCATTAGAATGTAGGTTGTATAAAAAGTTCTGCTACTCTGCAAAATACTTCTGAAATTACTATACTAGACCGGAATTTGGAGAAGGAAAAGAAAAATTTTTAAGAAGAATTTTGTAGTAAGTTTACATTGCTATTGAAGCCACTCTTTTAATGCTGATCTTAATTCAGACAAGTGTTTTGTAAACTGTAACCTTTTATCCATAGATCTAAATGAGGAGGAAGAAAAAAAGAAACAAAAAAGGAAAAGCAAAGAAAAAACAAAATTAAAGAGACCAAGGAAAAGGTAACTATCACACACCTATTTTAATTTCAAAACAGAACTTTAGAAATATTTCTGGTGTTTGAGTTATCAGAAAACGTTGCCTCTTTTGATGCAACTTTATTTTTAAGTACATCTTTGGTTTGAAAATCTTCCTGGTTTCTGGTTAGAAGTTGTTTGTTCTTTGAGTAGTGGTAAAGGCAGAGGCTTTCCGCTATGGAGTTAGGACCATGGAAGTCTAGACAGCTCTAGCAAGCTGCCTGTCTGCAGGTCTGAGAAAGCAATGCTCCGTCTGACCATCCAACAGTAGGCAAAATGTTGTGGGGAAACAAGAAGTGGGGAGGATTATGGGGTTGGTCCCCAACTTAGCTCACATGGAGAGGTCTCCCTGCAGTTCAGAGACCCCCAAGATTCCCTATGTGCACACATGCATGCGTAGATACAGACGCACACGCGCAAACACACTCTCTATGTATCACGTAACTACCAAAAGGAAAACTTCTGTAGTTTTACTTAGCATGTGCTGAGTTTTAATGTTCCTGTTACTGTAGACGTAGAAGAAGAAAAAGTGTTACTCCAATTTCAAAGAAAAATGTCATCATACCCAAATTTATTGTGAACCTGAGATTTGGCCTGCTGACTGATTTTTTTTTTTTTTTTTTTTTTTTTTTTTTTTTTTTCTTAGATGAGACTATAGACTGGTTAGTCATTAGGACTGTCGATGAGACAGTATCCCAGGAACTGCACTGAGAGCTAGGAAATGTGTAATGTATTTGGAGGCCATAATAATAAGTTTTTCAGAAATAAAGAAACAGGATTTAACACTGATTGTATTGGCATTTTTCCCCTTCCCTATTTATGTAGTGTGGCTCTAACTTACACTTATGAAGACAGTAGAAAAGAGTCAGTCTGCTGGCTGTAATCTTTATATGCAAGTAATTAATAGTTAATCATGTAAACAATAGCACAAAACTGCCCCTTTGAGTATAATAATCATGACTTTTCTTTTATTGTCATCTTAATTCTTCTGTGTTTGTAATCACTCATCACTGCTGGCTAGAAACCAATATTACCAGCTGCAAAAGCATCCAAATTTGTCATACCTGTTTCTCTTAGATCTTTGCATGAGAGAAATACATTAAGATTCGTCTGAAGGCGTTACTGTAGCATTGTTATTGATCATGTGATATTTTAAAAGCTGGAAGATCTATCTTACTGTCATACTTTCAGTTTTCTGTTGGTCTGTACTCTTAGTCTTCTTACTGAAGGTTGAAAACCACACAACTGGCCTGTTCCATTGTTAATTAATCTGTATTATAAACATACTGCTTTTCTGGCACAATAGTCTAACTAGAAAAGTCATTGTTCAGTTGAACATGCAGACTGAGATATCATAAGCTTTCCAGTGGATGCTAGTGTACAAATTTTACACCAGATTAGATTTGTGACATTATATAAATACTGAAATTTAAAAAACCACATTATTCTTATGGCATTTTCCTTCTTTAATTACATATCAATCTGTATATTTTTTTTTTTACTAGATCTTCCTCATCAAGTGCAGCTGAAGAGGATGGGCCAAAGTCAAAAAAACAAAAATCACACAAAAAAGAAAAGGAAAAGGAAAAAAAGAATAAATCTAAGAAAGGAAAACATCATAAAAAAGAGAAAAAGAAGAGACGAAAGGAAAAAAGTTCATCTTCTGATAGTTCAGACAGTTCTAGTAGTGACTGAGGTGCTGGCCTGTTTTTGCATTCACTTCTGCAGAGAATATGACTTTCAAATCAAATTTATTCATGCATTGCAATGCTGTTGTTTTAAAATTAT